CTCATAGCGGCCGGTGTCTAGAGTTTTTCTGTTGTATAAGCGCTGTGAGTGACTGGTGGACAATCGCAACGTGGTCAAACACCCGAGGAGTCCCACCTCACGGAGGCACTCGGGTGATATTTCCGAATGCAGCCTAAGAGGTAGAGACTATAGTATAACAGAGATGCGCAAAGTGTTATACTATAGGATCTATTATACTATAGGGTCTCTACTAAGAGTAAACAGTACAAGTAAACAGTAAGCGAATTGGCCAATCACAGTAGAGACCGTAAGGCCAGTGAATGATTTCTTTACTGCTTATGTCTTCCCTAATAGCCCAGATCTTCAAGGGACGTTCCAAAGAACATTCAGAGGATATCCCTATATTCTAAGAATATTCGCCAGAACGTTCCTTGAATAAAGTGTGCTATTAGGATTGCTATCTTATGGCGAATTCGATTGGAAGAACTAGTGCGCACTGGTGCATATTAAAGCCGTTGTACAGTAATTTAATTTAAATATAAAAATGAAATGCAAATATTTCGAATTATGAAATACATATTTTACCTAATAGTACAATAAAATGCATTAAGTATTTCACGATTTAATCGATCTTTATGTTTATTTATAAACATATCTTTACGTTATTTCGTGTACGACGGCTTTAATGTGCACCAGTGCGCACTGAGTGCGTCCAATCGAATTCGCTATTACATATGTGCCATGGGCGCGAAAAACCGATGCGAAACCAACCCGGAAATCCGGTTTGACCGCTTCACACTTTGTGAACAATATGATGAACTGTAAAGAAATAATGCACCGTTGATTTAAAAAATGTGGAACAATAGACCTATTCTTTTTGACTGAACTTTTGCACTAGTTCATCTTTCTTTCTCTTTTTTCCTCCTGAAGAGAAAAGGAAGAAAGATGAACTGATGAAAAATTCAGCCAAAAAGAACAGCTTTAATGTGCACTGAATGCGCACTAGTTCTGCCAATGAAAAACGCTATTAATCTCAAGCAAGGTCTTAAGATGCTAATACGGCTCTCTGATTGATTCATGCACCAGCTTAAGACCATCTCAAATCTTGAGCAACGTCTATTCCGCCCAAAAGTTTCACGATCGATACCCTGCTGAAACTGATTGGAACTTTATAACCAAATCAGAATTACTGACTAAAGGTAACCTTGAACTTTACTTAGCGTTTACGAAAATTCGACATAGATGGCATTGACAGTGACTTTTAAATTTTGAGTTTAGTTTTTAAGAAGGCATTTTATCAATTGAAATATCTTACTTTTGAGTTGAGGAAAGTCTTTTTACAAATTGGTAAAAAGACTTTTAATAACCCTTATATTCTATTTAAAAAAAATTGGCAATTATACTACTTGATAGAGCAACGTTTCAGCTTGAATCTGTATTTTTAATTGCGATGATTTTTAACGGAGTTACGAGCAAATATAAAGTCAGAATGTTCCTTTTTATTTAATCCGCGAATAACTCAGGAATAAAAAATCGTAGGAACATTTAAAAAAAAAATGATTTTGTATTAGGGAAATAAGCTTTAAGCTTTCATGATAGATAGTCG